CACTGGGAGTCCCAGCACAGAGTCAGGGTTTAAAAAGAGCCTGGTGTTCTAGACAGCTTGCCGGGGCCACCCCAGCAAACCCCAAGTCCACGCCAACTCCAGCACCAACCGACCCAAGTCGGCAGCCCCAGCGTGTCCTGGAAAAGCCCCAGCCCAGCCACACAGCAGCTCCACCCAGGCAGTCAAAGCCAAGTAGCACACACAGCCTACACTGAGGACACTGCTACATAAGACCGCACCTTCAAAACCAGGAGCGGTAACTGTTCCATCCAACTCATAAGGACAAATGCAGGAAGTGAAACAAAACGAGGAGACAGAGAGATTTCTTCCAAACAAAAGAACAAGATCAAATCCCAGAGAAAAACCGTAATGAAATGGAGATAAGTATCTTACCCGATAAAGAGTTCAAAGCAATGGTCCCAAAGATGCTCACAGAACTCAGGAGAAGAATGGAGGAACAGAATGAGAACTTTTCAATGAAAAGAGTTTGAAAATATGAAAAAAAAAATCAGAGCTAAAACATACAACAACTGAAATGAAAAATACACTAAAGGGAATAAACAGAAGATTAGATAACACGGAAGACCACATAAGCAACAAGGAAGTGAGACTAGTTAAACTCATCCAATCAGAACAGCTAAAAGAAAAAAGAATTTTTAAAAATGAGAACAGTTTAAGGAACTCTGGGACAACATCAAGAGCACTGACATTCACATTATAGGGTCCCAGAAGGGAAGAAGAGAAAGCGGCAGAACACTTAGTTCCAAAACAAAATGGCTGAAAAGTTCTCTATACTGGAGAAAGAAACATAATCCAGGTCCAGGACGCATGGAGTCCCAAACAAGATGAACCTGAAGAGGCTCACACCAAGACAGATAGTAATTAAAATGGGAAAATTTAAAGAGAGAGAATTTTAAAGCAAGCAAGACAAAAACATTGAGCCACATACAAAGGAACCCCCCATAAGGCTACCAGGTGACTTTTTAGCAGCAACTCTGCTGGTCAGAAGGGAGTGGCATGATATATTTAAAGTGATGAAAGGGGAAAACATACAACCAAGAATATTCCACCCAGCAAGGGTCTCATTCAGAACTGAAAGAGAGGGAAAGAGCTTCCCAGACAAGAAAAAACTAAGAGTTCATTAACACTTTTTAAACCAGTCTTACAAGAAATGTTAGAGGGTTTTTTAAGAAGAAAAGGCTATACTTAAAAATGAGAAAATACTCCCAGCTAAAGGCAAATATATAGCAGACAGTGGATTACCCACTTAAAAAGCTAGTATTAACACTGAAAGAAATCAGTCATAAAATCAACCATAATTATAATACACAGTTAAGAAATACACAAAGTAAAAAGATGTAAAGTATGACATAAAACATGAGGAGGAAACAAAAATGTAATGCTTTTAGAATGCATTTGAACTCAAGCAAATATCAAGTTAAAACAAACAGCTCTATATATGTATAGGTCAACATATATGAACCTCATGGTAATGACAAACCAAAACCGTACAAGAGATACACAAAAAATAAAGGAATCCAAACATAACACTGAAGAAAATCATTAAACTACAAGAGAAGAGAACAAGAGAAGAAAGGAACAGAGAAGAACCACAAAAACAACCAGAAAACAATAACAAAATGGCAGTAAGTATATACCAATGAACAGTTACTTTAGAGGGTAAGGTATAGCTCCAGTGGTAGAGTGCATGCTTAGCATGCAAGAGGTCCTGGGTT